ACCCTTTCCTCCCTCGCCCCTTTCCTCCCTCCCCCCTTTCCTCCCTCCCCCCTTTCCTCCCTCACCCCTTTCCTCCCTCCCCCCTTTCCTCCCTCCCCCCTTTCCTCCCTCCCCCCTTTCCTCCCTCCCCCCTTTCCTCCCTCCCCCCTTTCCTCCCTCCCCCCTTTCCTCCCTCCCCCTTCCTTGTCCCTCCCCCTTCCTTCCTTCCCTCTTTCTTGTCCTTCCCCCTTCCTCCCTCCCCTCCCTTGTTCTTCCCCCTTCCTTGTCCCTCCCAAAAATATAAATACACCCCCACCTTGTCCCTCCCCTACCCCCTCCCTTTAAGATAAACTGTGTAGTGTGTGTAGTAATACATTTCAAATACATCCCCACCTTGTCCCTCCCCCCTCCCTTTAAGATAAACTGTGTAATGTGTGTAGTAATACATTTCAAATACATTACAACTCAATCTATGACTTCTACATGTGAATTTTATAAGGAAATATGAGTGCCAAGTCATCAGGATAAGGTTGGAGTTGAAAAAAACTTACTCTGCTTGATTCCAGTCCTATTCCAGTGGAATTCCAGTGGAATGCTGTGGATTCCAGTGGAATTCCTCTGGATTCCTCTGGAATTCCTCTGGATTCCTCTGGAATTCCTCTGGATTCCTCTGGAATTCCTGTGGAATTCCACTGGAATGACCCCATTCCTGCAGGATTCCTGCAGGAATAGGTGGGGCACTGTAAAGTACTGCAGAAGGGGGTTATCGCAGCTACCATGGATGTCGCTTCAAGAGAGGGGGCCGCTCTGCAGCAGACGATCGGACGACCATGTTGGATGAAGAAACAGGATTTTGGGTCCCAATCCCAGTGAATTACACGGCCCCTCACATGCCAGAAGATCTCATCAAGGCAGAGAACAACATATGCATACAGGATCGTCGTTGCATCGCATATGTCCACCTAGAGGCTCGCAAAGCCTTCAAGGAACTCAATGCCTCTCATGAGCCCGGCAATCCGGAGATCCACCCTCTCCACATTTATGATATTTCGGAGGGGGAAGAGGCGGCGTTGGTGGCAGGCCTCGAGGGGGAAGAGGCGGCCTACAAGTTCCGAAAGCCCTGGGAGGAGGGCCACAGCCGCTACCAAGGCTCCTTACCTCAAGAAGGTGCCCAAAATGCTGCAGATAGGCGTACAAAAATGTGGGACAATGAAACACAGATGTACCGCATGCTCCCTGCGGGTTACATGGCCCCACACGACCCCCAGGACTATGTTGATGCTGTCAACCATGAACTGGCTCAAGCTGAGCAGCATCGTCACTCCGCAATTATTCTTGCACGTCGCCAACTTTGTCCACGTAAGGAAGAAGGGAAGAAGGAGAAAGTCACAGCAGTAGAGGACTGGGAAGCCCCAGATCCCATGATTGAGGGTGACGTCAATGGGTCTGATTATGAAGAGGGACAGCGTGAGGAAGAAAAGACGAGGGACTGGCATAAATCGAGGGGACAGTCAGTTATGGACACTGAAGAGGATGACGCAAAGATTTACGAGGAAGATGCCGAAGAAGAACCAGACTTGGAGCACGAGGAGGAAGCAGTGCGTGAGGAGGAAGAACGGTGTTCCAAAGGCAAGAAACCTTTGGTTATGGACACTGAGGAGGAAGACGAACGTGACTTGGAGCGTGATGAGCAGGAAGAAGCGCGATCCAAAGCTGCTTGCCTTTTGTTATCGACAATGAAAACAGAAGGGAAAGTACACACCTCATCCGCCCACTGGAAGGACTTAACAGCATCATACACACCTTCCCAGTTGGACACCGCATCTGTCTTGAGCAGCTACAGACTCACATTGATCCCTGATGCCCTGCTCCCAGACCTTGAAGAGGTTTCTTTGACAAGGCCTTCACTCCTGGAAACGGCGTTGTATCTGATGTTCAGCCAGGTTGTCTGGCAAGTCGCACATAGGTTGGGCCATCTCTATGGCCATTCTTCAGACTTCGCCATGGAGAAAGCGGATCTTCTGTGAAAGAGAAGCGAGCTCCAAACCACTACAACCTGTTCAAAACTTTTGCTAGCAGGATGAAACCAGAGGAGGGAGATCAAGGTTAGTCTTCATTTTACCTTCTTGAACCCGCTTCCTCATATAATATGATTGTAGAAGGCCTCCAGCTCTGGAACAGGGCCACGAATGAGGAGTACAAGAAGCTTATGGAAGGAGCGACAACAAAAGAAGAGAAAGATGAATGGATGCAGGAGGCTGTTAGTTTCATCAAGAATCAAGTCAACAAAGAAGGGACCAATGTCTGTGACGTGAACCTTCGCTTTGCATCTCACATGAAGGAAATTTGGGATCTTGTACATCTAATTGGTTTGTTCATCACATTCTTCTTACATACACCACTTTTACAGATCACCAATATCAAACGTCATGACAAATCTTTTGACATTGCTGGTATCTTGGTCCACAGCGGCAGAAATCTAACGGCGTGGAACAAGACGGCTTTTTTCATGAGTTCCGAGGACCTTCATGTGCTCTGCACCCATGAGGAGTGGCCAATGGCCACCTTGATGGACATCTTTGTTAGCAAAGTCCGGTGCATTGTCCCCCTTTCATGTTATGGGTTTTTGTCTTACTTGTGCTGCTACAGTGCTATGCATGTGGACCAGCAAATTAAGCAGTCAATGGAGGAACTAAATGTGACTCCCTCAACTACAGCTAGCTCCTCAACAGCTCGCACCCAGACCAGCCTTGCATCTGCTTTGAAGAAGGAGGCTTCTTCGGATAAGGATGTGCTAACTTACACAAAGGAACGTCAGAAACAATTCACGTGATTGTTTCTTGATCTTTTGAGTAATATTTTGTTTTGTTCAGTGATTAACAGTTATTGATATGATATTCAGATGGTGCTTGGCTGAAAAGGATCGACGCATGTCGGCCCCTTGGACCATGTGGCCCAATCTCAGAGGTCTTAGCAGTGCCCCTGCTATTCCTGCAGGAATCCGGTCATTCCAGTGGAATGGAATTTAGCAGAAGGCCCTGCTAAATTGTTTATTCCGGTGGATTCCGGAATGTACACCGGAATGTTCCCTGGAATGGTCTTCCCCGGAATGGGCAGGAATGGTGTTCCCCGGAGTGGGCAGGAATGGGATTCCAGTCCAATCTGTTTATTTTATTTATTTATTACTGTATTATAGTTTATTTATTTTCAATGGATCACAAACAATGTTTGTTTGGTGAACATGCTCACCAAACATGGCCACTCTCTTCTTCCACCACCACCACCACCATGCTCGTCACCGCCGCCAACGCCACGCCATCACCGTCACCCATAGCCACCACTGCCAACATCGCTCCTCGATCACCCATGGCCACCACGACCAC